AAATGAGGTTGGTGTGGTGATCTTGTTCCTTTCATTTGTGCATGCTCATCAGCTCGGCTGATCTGTTCAGCAAAATATCTGACTGCGTGTCACTGCATCACAAACGACTTAAAAAATATAAATAAAGAAATCTCCACTGTGCTGGGCGAGAGCGCTTCTTACTGAGCAGCACATCATCGATGATGTAAGTGCGCTCAGGGCCAAATGCGACATGGGTGCGGGCTGTCGTGGAAGACAGGAGGGGAGACAATCATGTTTCGGCCCAGTTCAACTGTATATTGTGTAAGTATGCAAATGAGCTGCTTCTCCTCGCCCACTGTTCCCACATGCATGTCTGCTTCTCCTGCGTTACATCAAATAAACAGCAGTCAGTGATAAAGAGAGACACATAAGCTAAAATACAGCTCTTTAGTCAAAAATACCAAATAAGTTTATTTAATGTATTTGTGGTGGAATGTATTCAAGGCCCTCTGAAACGATTAGTCACATATAAATCTGCAATATGCCCACATATTAGTTAGAGCTGTGAACCTATACTGGTCTCACGTTTCGGTTCGGTTACGATTATCATGCCATCGATTCGGTTTAATTTGAAATCTCGGTGCATCATGGTGCATTGACGGTGCTTTCCATACACAGTTTCATATTTTCTTCACAGCAGTATTCTTGTTTTAAAATGTATTAATATATTTATATTTATATACTAATAATTGTAATGCAATTTTGGATCCAAATACAGGGTTTATTAGGAGAATGGTCAGGGAACCAACAGTCTACACAGGAGCAAACATTACATACTGTAGATCAGTGGTCACCAAACTTGTTCCTGGAGGGCCGGTGTCCTGCAGATTTTAGCTCCAACCCTAATCAAACACACCTGAACAAGCTAATCAAGGTCTTACTTGGTATACTTGAAACATCCAGGCAGGTGTGTTGAGGCAAGTTAGAGCTAAACCCTGCAGGGACACCGACCCTGCAGGGACACCGGCCCTCCAGGACCAGGATTGGTGACCCCTGTTGTAGATCATCCAAAGATCATCCAAAAGGCATAGTCATAAACAGGCGATTGGTCAGTCCCGGCGGCATGCAACTTAAAAAATAAAACATGGCAAAAGATCAACCACAGCTAGGCTAGACAAAGGAAATTTGTCCTAATGTCACAGATAACAAGACTCAGCACTGATGCATACACTGTAAAAAATTGCTGTTAAAAAACGGTCAGATTCCACAATAAAATAATGTTTTTTCACTAAAACAGTAGTATTCTGTTAAAAACAGTGCATTCTGGGTAACATTTTGTTTTCGAGAAAGTAACCAACTGAAGAAAACTGTGAGCTAACAGAGTTCAGATTCGATATTTTGAAGTCTGTGTTTAAAATCACACTTTGTGCCCTTGTTCACTATTCCATCAACTAGTTCACCAATATAGTTCACCTGACACTTTTAATGATCATTAATGAGAGAATTCAGACACTGATGAACACCCGCTGTTAATAATCACAACTACTGAAGGAAAGAAACACAAACAGTGACGTCAGTTACAGCATTAAATAAAATCAAATAAAATAAAACACCTTCAGTCTCAGCAGAGGAACATTAAACAACTCCACAAACAACAGCAGACAAACTTATTACTGACTAATTTGACTTCCATACTATTCACATTGAGATCCAACAGAAATTTAGGTGTTTTTCGTGTCACCGTAATGGAGTGAGGGGCTGGTTTAGTTGGTGTCTTCACCCTTGAACTTATTTATTTAGACTTTCCTGCTGCTGTAATACAGAGTTTACAAAACACTTTTATTATAGCATTGATGTGGAAAAGTCAATAGATAGATTAATCTATTTGTCTGAAGATAGTTCTGATAAATGTTTGAGTATAAATCTGGATGAAGGGTATCATTCAATAAATTTTATGCTTAGTTGCAGGTATTAATTTAATTAATAAGTGGAAACATAAAAGATACTTATATAATTACTTTACAGTTAAGAGATAACATACAAACACAGTTCAGTTAAGATAAAGACACACTCAGACCTCATGAATCAGACCTTGTACCTCAACAATGGTAACAATTAAAATGTTTCATACTGCAATGCATGCTGGTTGTGGCACAGTACAAATTTCCCAGCATGCATTGCGGCATGAATAAATGTAGTATAATGGTCTAACGGTTTTCTTTATTTGCGTTTGATTCTGCTTTTATTTATGTTTAGACTTTAAGTTGCCTGTTTGTGAGTTAAACTGTTAATTTTGTTACTTGTCACCATAGTTGAGGTTCATATGCTGATTATTGATGTCTGTTTGAGTGCAACTTACATCATAGAGCAAAGTGTTTTTGTCCAAGATATTCTTAAAAACTTCTAGAAATCATTGCCACATATATTGTGAAACAGTAGAATTAACGTTGAATAAGAGCAGTAAATAATATTACATTAAATTAGAACAGATTCTGGCATTTAATAGCAACATAAACATTACCAGACATTATTTAGGTTTTAGGCTGGCTTGTCACATCAAGTAAGTTTTTTAAACGAAGCTCCTAACAATTGCAGCAGCCAAAATATATTATTGATAATGATGTCAGGGCTAAAAGCCCAACTAAAGCAAACTCTGTTCTCCATGATGGTGACGTAAAATGTTACCCTTACTCTCAGGAAGAACTTTAGTAGATGTTACACAAAAATAAACGTTTCAGTAGTAAGTGAAGCTGGTGATGATGTTTGTAGAGATGTTTAATCATCCGCTGATCATTCAAATGATTTAATCATTTGTTGACCTTCAGGTTATTTTATTATAATGCTGTGACTAAAGTTATAGTTTTGTATGTTCTGTTCTTGTTTTTTCCCTTCAGTATTTCTTCATTTGTTCATTGTTAATCCTCAATCATCATTAAATTAGTCGTTTGATTAATTCATTTACTTCAGCTTTGCTACACGTTTCTTGAACACTCAGTAGTGTGGACACTTCAATTAAAACTGAAGTATATGCTCTGGGGTTTAAAGGGTTAAAGGTGTGAGAGGTAAAATCACAGAGTAAAATGTATTTTAACAGTAATATACTGTTAATTTAAACTACGGAAATAGACTGTAAAAAAACAGTAGATTGCTGGCAACCACAGCTGCCAGTAGTTTACTGTTAAATAAAGGAAAAAACTGTATTTTACTGTAAAACCTGAAGCTAATTTCTTCTGTGTGTCACCGTTGTGGAGAAGAGTAGAGCCAGTGTATGAGTTAAAGATGAACAGTGAACTGCTGATGTTGTTCTGCATGTTTCTCTATTTAAAGATAGCGGCTGTTTAGTTGCTGATGCAGTCAGAATCTCTGGTAGTTCTAGATTTACATGTATGTGTGCTGTTGAGAAATATAAGACGTTAGAGTTAAACTGAACTTTTCTAATGAACTAAAATAAGTTATCATTATAAGTATACTTCTAAGCATGTATAGCACAATACTTTATAAACTCATTCAGCAGTTGACCAATTTGAGGCAGTTGCTTTCAGTGAGCAAAATGAGTTCCCTTGAGTATTGTGTATATCAATGTAGTCCATGTATTTTTACAGCAACATACTGTAAAATAACAGTACATTGCTGGCAACTGCAGCTGCCAGTATTTTACTGTTTTTTAACGGGGCAATTTTTAGGTGTATGTATATGTGTGCGTGTGTGCGTGTGCATGTGCGCGTGGGCGTGTGCGTGTGCGTGTGCGTGTGTGTGTGTGTGTGTGTGTGTGTGTGTGTGTGTGTGTGCTGTTTTTAAAGTCCAAGTAATCAGTCCTTGACAATCCTCCGGCTGTGTGTGTGTGCAATCAGCAAATTCCAGCTGCATGTAAGAGGTGCATGGATATGTAGTCTATATAATGGCAGATTTGTTGTTCTATGGCTATCTGCATGTTTACCAGCGATCTGCAAGGATTAGATTGCTGGTGATTGTGACACAATCAATTCGGAGGGCGGGGAAAATTCCATCTAAAATCAATTTGGTGAACTCCTACATCATGTTGCGGTGGGCCTCAAAATCACTGGGATTATTTTGATGTCGCCTATTTTAACATCAGGAAATTTTAAAAAAAGATACTTGTTGGGTTTATATCAGTCCAATATGACAATGGACACATTATACTTACACATAGTTCTGTCCAAACAGCTTACAAAAGTTTATTTTCATCATAGGAAATCATTTAATCTTTTAAAATTAGCAAATTATCTCTATGGCAGAAGTAAAATAATCTTGTTTTTGGACTTGTTTTAGAAATTTGGACTAGAGACAGGACAAAATTTCTAAGTAAGAAAAACATTTGCATTCATTCATTTTCTTGTTGGCTTAGTCCCTTTATTAATCCGGGGTCGCTACAGCGAAATGAACCGCCAACTTATCCAGCAAGTTTTTTTTATGCAACAGATGCCCTTCCAGCCGCAACCCATCTCTGGGAAACATCCACACACACACATTCACACACTACGGCCAATTTAGCCTACCCAATTCACCTGTACTGCATGTCTTTGAACTGTGGGGGAAACCGGAGCACCCGGAGGAAACCCACGCGAACGCAGGGAGAACATGCAAACTTCACACAGAAACGCCAACTGAGCCGAGGCTCGAATCAGTGACCCAGAGACCTTCTTGTCATTTTCTCCTGTATAAATAATTAAATAGAAATATTATTTGTTACACCTACAAACTTAATTTTTTGTGTCCAAATGTTTTAAACTCTCTTAAAATGCTCAGCCACAGGCCTTCAAAACACATGCAATTGATAAACTTTTACTTTATCATAGTTAGACTTCTTTCTGTAGCTCCTGGTCAACTAAAATTCAGACTCGACATTGCATCTCTTGCAATGTGACAATTGCCGATGTGCACATTGTAATATTGATGCTGAAACGATATATTGTGCAGCCCTACCACAGTCATGTTTTTTATGTTTATCTGAATTAATTTATCTGTGTCAATCATGCTGCTTATTACTAATATTGTTTTGTCACTTCTGTTTTTTGTAGTGTATAGTATGGGACTGGGATTCTAATGGCAAACATGACTTCATAGGAGAATTTCAAACCACTTTTAAGGAGATGAAATCAGCCATGGATGGGAAACAGGTATGAACATACACGCATAGTTAAAAAACATTTAAGATGTACACTTGTCAAAATAAAAATCAGATAAATACTAATGATATTTATTCAAATAATATAATTACATTTAAGGTGTATAATATTTATTTAGAATTATACCTGTTTATAGAGCAATCTGATGCATTAGTAAAAATAGAAAAATCAATCAATAAATAAATAAAAAGAGCATGGATGTTATATATATTTTAATGCACTGAATATACCCTCAAGCACATAAAGTTAGAGCAATAACATGCATAGTTCATAACTCCAGCTTATGGATATGTGCAAAGGAGAAAGCCTTTCTTAATAAAAACCCATATCACATCTCGACTGGAGCTTGCTCATGGGCATGTGAAAGGCTGTGAAATTCAAAAAGGAAACTGTGGTCTGATGAAACCAAAAATGATCATTTTAACTTCAATTCTGTGCATGTGCAGAAATTGTTCAGGTTACAAATAGTTCTTATCCAATCTGATGGGTCTTCCAAGTAATTGATGCAATTTGTATGTTCTTTTAGAGACAACCCAGGCTCACTGGGAATATGTACTGTTACCTAAAATACATTGCTTTGGTGTTGTTTTCTTGCCTGTAGACAGTTGCCACTGTCTACATTTTTTGAGAATCCCAAATGCATTACTGGGATGCATTTTTGATTCCTGCCATTTACATATCCTTTTTGTACATGTACGTGAGAAAGATTAGCTTGTCATGCATGTATTACCTTGTGATTGACTGACCCACACCCTTCATTAGAACCCAACCAAGCGTTTTCAAAAGCAAAAAAAAAAAAACCTTTGAGCGACTGACCTACACCTTTCCCTAAACCCCACCGAACATTTTAACTGTTAGGTGGAACTCTCCTTCACCAGATTCGAATCTTGCCCCTCTGCATGCCAAGTATGACACTTTACAAGGTGAGCTACTGAGCAAACTGACCAGGGGTGAAAAAAGTTATCCATACGAACATAATGCTGAGTTCAGACTCCACGATTTTCAAAGTAGTCGTAGTTTTTTTTTTTTGGTGCCACGCAACGAACCTTGCTAAAATAATTATTTATTCCTAGATAACACGTCCAAGTTAGCATCTGTAACTTAGTGTGATAAAAATAAGCAAAAGTTGTTGGTGTCATACTACTCCATAGGGTTTGTTTTACCTACAAACTGCTAATGTATGTTGAAGCACATTTTCAGTTTTACAAAAATGTAGTCTGAGGCACGTATTTCCAATAAGCCTGTATTGGATAGAGACCCCAACCAGATCACCACTGCAAATACATAACAACCACTCTGAACAATTACATGGCCATACTCTGGCAAATGCTTGGAATACATCATCTGCTTGGGAACTGGCTAAAAGCTAGTCTGAATACCCTAGAAGCCAACTAGCAACAATCTGACAACCAATTAGAATACTTCAGTTGCTGTATAGTGTTGCATAGTACCACTCTGAACAGACAGGTCTTAAAGGGGCAGCAGATATTTATGTTACTATTAGTCAACAGTATATGCACAAAAAAATATTTAAATTTACAGACATACAGACAGAATATTACTTGTGTACTGTATTGTTGCATAAATTGTTTATTTCTGACCATTTTACTGTTGAGATATTTCTTTTTAATGAACATAGATTAGCTGACTGCAGTAGGGCTGCACGATTAATCGAAAAAAGATTGCAATCTCGATTCGGCCCCACACATTTGAGCTGACCACGCGCTACTGATAACATGCGTGTGTGCACGCAGCACGCCAATGACGGCTACTTCAGCAAACAGAACCTGCATAGGCTGTGAATAACAAGTAATAAAGTTGTAAATAACATTAAGTTTGTTGCACAGAGCGATCGCTTGAGAGCCGCACTAAAAAAATTATTTGCATATGTGTGTGTGTTTTATCACAGTGACAGCAGCCATAAGCCACATAGGAAGTAAAAGTGAAACTGGCTGCAAATTTAAATGATCATATGGCATTTTACGGTTATGATTACGACAAGCATTTTATGTTTTTTTCTTTCAACACAAAGTGTTGTGCATGAAAATAAATGTTTAAGTGTCAGCATAGCTATACTTATATAACTTATATAATGTTTAATACATTGCAAAAAGAAATCTGATAATGACAAATGTCCGATTTTACCAGTGAAAACAAATGGTCTAATAATGGTAATGACAAGCACGTATCAAACATAATAATTTAATTTTATAATTATAAATAGTTGTATTCTTATGCCATCATTTTACTGTGAATTAATGAACAGGACATATTGAAAGCCTTTTCAAGTCCACCATAATTAAAATGTAGCATTTTAAGCAACAGTTGACACATAAAAGCCTAATATTATTATTGTCATTTTTGTCAAAATTTAGTTACTGACATACTTAATAAATGACAACTTGTTGTTAACATTTTAAGACTTAAAAAAACACACATAAAATAAAATAAACATAAAATGCACACATACTGCTTGCTATATGGATTGCAAAAACGCAGATAAAACCTTATAATTCCAAGGTGACTATATGTTTGAGAATTAACAATAATAATAGGCTACTCATATTAACCTTAATTTTATGTCTGAAGAATCGTGAGATCTTGATTTTAAGCAAAAAAAAATCGTGATTCACATCTTAGCAAGAATCGTGCAGTTCTATACTGCAGTAAACACAACCTGTAAAGCCAGTGTATTCATTCATTTCATTTCATTCATCAATCCGGGGTTGCCAGAGCAGAATGGACCACCAACTTGTCCAGCACATGTTTCACGCAACGGATGCCCTTCCAGCCGCAACCCATCTCTGGGGAAACATCCACACAAACTCAATCACGCTCATACACTACAGACAATTTACCCTACCCAATTCATCTGTACTGCATGTCTTTGGACTGTGGGGTAAACCGGAGCACCCGGAAAAAACTCATGCGAACGCAGGGAGAACATGCAAACTCCACGCAGAAATGCCAACTGACCAAGCTGAGGCTTGAAGCAGCGACCTTCTTGCTCTGAGGCGACAGCACTACCTACTACCTACCTACCTACCTTTTGTTAGTCTACACAACAAAACCATTATTATACAATAACTTGCCTAATTACCCTAACCTGCCTAGTTAACCTAATTAACCTAAGCTTTAAAATGTCAATTTAAGCTGTATAGGAGTGTCTTGAAAAATATTATTTACTGTTATCATGGCAAAGATAAAACAAATCAGTTATTAGAAATGAGTTATTAAAACTATTATCTTTAGAAATGTGCTAGAAAAATCTTTCCACTGTTAAACAAAAATCATGGAAAAAAATATACAGGGGGCTAATAATTCTGACTTCAACTGTATATGTGTTCAGCTAACTCTTTTTTTGGTCACACTTAATTTTTAGAAATTCTCACTAATTCTTCACTAATTCTCATTCGATTATCAGTAGACTGTTTGGTTGGGGTTAGGGTTGGGGTTTGGGTTAGGGTTAGTGTAAGTTGACATGTACTTGCAAAGTTTCCAGCCTGATCTCATGAGTAAACGTATGTATTTTACGTTTTGCCAGTTTAGTGGCTAATTCGTACGAAATCATACGAGTTCAGTCGTATGAAAATGTAGAATTTTAAAAAGGAGCGGTGGCACCTAACCCCAACCCCTAAACCCAACCGTCATTGGGGGAAAAGAAAATCGTACTAAATTGTACAAATTAGATCGTATGAATTCATAGTTCAGCAAGAAGGAAAGAGCTTTGAGGAGTATTAAGGAAATATTTGCTCACTACAGTACTAACTTATCGATAAAGATGCCATAAAAATGACACCCAAGGGGTGCTTTGAGACGAAATGTTTATTTATTTTTTTAACTGTCCAAAATGGAAGGCACAGGATTGGATATTGAGAAAGCGAAGGACACATCTATGCAGCCTTTGAAATTCAATCAGTTTCTGCCTTGGAATGTTGCCCCCAAAAGCAGCATTTTAAAGCGTTCAGGTGCAGCTATTGTTTTAACAACCACATACTGTATGAACACTCTTGCAACCTACCAAAACACATTAGCAACTGCATAGCAATAGGCTTACAACCACTATGAACACCTTAGCAATCACATTGTGACATTCTGGCAATTAACCAGAATATAATAGCAACTACTCAATAACACCCTGAAAACTAAACAGAATGCCCAAACAACTGCCTACTTTAACGGACTTGAAGACTCTTGGAACGCAATAGCAAGACAGATAGTAACTACATGGCAGCTAACCAAAGCACCTTGTAAGAATCAGCTCTTTGGTTTAAATCATGTTTAAACTTTGGGGATTCGAATCAAAGATTCGAACATGATTCACATAGAATTATTTAAAGCTTACACTCAACTTTAGTATTTGTCCAGCAAATAGAACGTTTAGTGTAAAGCAATCCTGTATTATATTATTACGTGGCCAACAATAACAATATAAAAACAGTATCTAATTATTTAATAAGCAAGGTAGCAGTATCTGAAGCTGAGGCATTAACTTATAAAGCACACAACACACCAACACGGATCTTAAAACGAAACAAAAGTTTATTGCTACTCTATAACACAAAGTACTAATCTACGTAAAACAAACAAACGCACATACATACACACACGCACAAGCAGTTTGAGGAGTTTTGGCTGAGTGGATTTAACTTCTAGCCTTTGCTAAGTTCTTAGCATTGCAACCTGAGAGAAACCATAAAAGCAGAGAATTTCGCTATTCTTTACTACTTAAACATAATTCACACCAGAGTCAGCAATGGATAGAAACCTTGTTTGTGCTACTTGCGTTCTGATGTAATTTGGTTTCCTCGACTGGTCCAAAGGGAAATCCCGGCGAAGCTGATTGGTCAGCGTAGCAACTTCAGTGACGTGATGGAATTCCCTTGTCGGTGAAGAGGGGTTTCCTTAGTCGGTTGCTAGGGATACGGATGTTGGACAAGGCAGCGTTCGAAGTCCTTCCTGGGTTCCTGTAGTTAGGATGAGTTTCAGAG